AGTGTGGCTCTGATTAAACCATCAACCGTTAATCATCACGCAACTGGCCGCCGGGCCCGGTCCGCAGATTCTGAGCTGGCATGTGTTTCAATTACAGGACGCACCACATCCTATAGTTTGGCCGGGTGATTAGGACGCAAATCAGAAAGTAACCGACAATCTCCATATTTTAATTTCTTACAACAACAATAATAATTATAATCGGGAGCTTAAGAAGAAAAAAAAAAAGAAATAATCCCCGCCGTCCACTCTTTGTCCAAATTATTTAAAAGGAATAATAATTTAATTAAATTGGGCGGGCTCCTCCGCAGCCCATTACGATAAAGTTAATGCTGATCCCCAATTGGAAAGGGACACGTGGCTCATGATCTTTTTACCTTTTAAACTGGGAAGAATATTTTGGATTAATTAATTGCATAAGCTTTCTCCTTCGGGGGGTCATGAGTTTTGTTATGTTAACATCTGGCCTTCCATCTCTGTTTTTCATCTCCGCTCAACACGTTTCCCATGGCTCCAGTTTCTCTCTCTTCTCTCTCTTCTCTCTCTCATCCGCCTTCAGTTGTTGTTCCTTCTCCTTGTCTGCAACTTTGCCGGCGAATCTTACTTCCCCGTAGAACGCCTTCTTGTTCCTCCTCCGCTTCGATTCCGACGACGTCTTCGTCAATTTCGGCGCCTAAAGTAGTGGTTACGAGAGAGCGCGGCAAGAACGGCAAGCTCGTTAACGCTCTGGTAATTTCTAGCTCTCTCTCTTGATTTTGTAATCTTAGGATGCAATATTCTGATTTTAAATTTGCTTTTTCTGTCTCTTTTTTTTGTTTTTTGTTTTTTGTTTTGGCTCATGTGTGTTTGATTCCTTGAGCCTTTTTTGAGATTCTTCTTCGGCATTGTGTTCATCTCTTGAATACACGTGGTGGACCGATTTGTAAGTCCGCGTGTTAAATGTGGATATGATTGCTGGCTGTTCGAGTATTTTGATTTGTTGTTGCCTTCTCAAGTTCTCACCTATTGTCTAGATCTTTTTGAAATACTTCATCATATTGAGAATTGCTTTTGCTTTTACTCCGGCTGAAACATTGCTGTTCTTTTGTCTTTTCGGAGGAGAACGGAATCGAGCAATTTAGTGGACGTATCTTGACGCTGCGATAAGTTTTAACTGCAATGGTTTAAAGTATCAATATAGTTTCGGTTTTCCAAGAGTTAAAATGTATTCTATCGACAGTCGTGAGATAAGAACGTCTTTAAAATTGAATGAGCTGCGTTATGATTTAGAATAGCCTTGGTATGAGTTCAATTTCAGTTCCTAGGTATATTAGGAATCATAGAACCAGATCGTATCATTCCAGAGCTGCACGTGGTGGTAATCTATTTGTTAATTTTATTTCCGGTTCTGATATAACGGCTTCTTTGTAATAGATACACTGGAATACGAGTCTCTTGAAGCATTGATACCAAAAATATTGATATTCTCTTTATTGAATCAAGGAAATGCACAAGTTCTTTTTCTCCTTGTCCTGGATACTGTACTTTAGTGGTGAATACTGCCCGAATAGGCGAAATATTTGTATAAAATTACCTAACCTTTTGAGAGGTCAAAGATTCAAATTCCTACCCCATTGTTAATTAATGGCAAATTCTCACATTGTAGTTTAGCTAGAAAACTGATCTTTTATGCCCAGAAGAAATAATTAGGGTTCAGGATGGAGAATATCCATGATGGTTTATCTGGCACTCTTGTCCATTATCATCCAGTAATGGATAAAGTTTTAGACATAGACATATTATTACATAGCTTAGAGTTACGGATGTTACACCCTGCATATCATTGCTTCTCACCTCATTTTCCCTTTTACTTTTTATATTTTTCCCTTCATTTTAACAGCCTATGCTATAGTTGACCTCTTGTGAAGATAAAATAATGAGAAAGCATAAAGTGGCCTTGATTTTTTTGCTTGGATGTGTGCGCTACAATCGAATTTTTGATGTGTGAATCAAATGTAAACCGGACGATGTTGATATTCCTGATGTGGATCATAGGCAAAACATGGGATAAACTGTTTGGAGCTTCCCCTCATCCAACACAGGCAAGGTCCTGACTTGAATAGACTACATTCTGTACTTGGTGGTAAGTCCTTCAAGATTGGTTCTCTCCCCTTTTCCTCTTAAAAAATCTCATTGTTTTTGGTGAAATGATTCTCTCAGACACACACACGCACCCACATAATGATGCAGGGCTGTTCTGCTGGAATTTATTTGACAGTAATATTATTTAGTAATTTTCAATGTTGAACAGATAATTTTAGATGCCCCAGTTTGGGTTACAAGCTCACACTGCTGACATTTATTCGAGAGTAATATTATTATTATTATTATTATTATTATACAAGAAACCGAGTTTTCGTTTAGAGAAATGAAAAAATATACAAGGGCATACAAAAAGACAGCCCAAACAAGAGTACCCTAGAGAAAGGGGCTCCAATCCAAAAAAAAAAACACCTAATTGATAATTACAAAAAACTTTAGAAACCAACCCCACAAGGAAATATTGATTGTAATACGATCCACTTTACAGTAATATTATTTAGTAATTTTCAATGTAGCACAGATAATTGGAAGACTAATTAATGGACACAAGCCTTTACAATGTTCTTCTGTTCATTTACAGATTCTGTATTTGACTGGATTGTTATAACTTCCCCTGAAGCTGGCTTGGTGTTCCTAGAGGCATGGAAGTAAGGTTTAGAACTAATTCACTAGACTCTCACCAGTCTTGTATTTTACACGATATCAAATTTAAAATTTTGATTGTTGTTAATTTTCCTAGAACTTTGCAAGCTTTAAAGTTTCTTGAGTTTTTTTTCTTTTTTTTTTTTAAAAAAATCTGTTTTGAATATTTTTTTCATATTCCATCTACAGCAATTTTGGGAAACTGATTTTCTTTGTATAGGATGTTAGGACTTCAAGAAATTTATACCTATCATACTAGGTGATCTAGCTCTTATGAATTTATTTAGTACCCATTTCATTGAATGGTTTATCTCAAGTTATAGGTGATCATACCCATAGCAGTGCCATACTACCATCCGTGTAAAATAAATTATTACACAGTATGAGTACATTTTTGGACCATTGTTGTTTCAACCTGTATGGTACATGAGATCAAGTTGTATATTTCAAGTTAAAATGCATTTTTTGAGTCAACGGGTGTTTTGGATTGAATTTTCCTGCTGTTGAATTGTATTTTGCATTGTTGGTTATATGTAATCAAAAACTACAATGCACTATTTTAAAAAACTGATACAGCTACCAATTAAAGATTTGATAACTATAATCGGGAGTAACTTTGTAATGTATGTATTCAAGTTTGAGTAATTTGGTGTGAAGAATAATCCATTCTATTGTTTCCCTTCTTTCTTTGAATCCCCAACTAGAAGCACACAATTGGTACTTCACATTATGTTTTCCATTTGGGCTGCTTTGCATCATCCTTGAGTGATAGCTTCACATTATTTTGTTCCTTAGGGCTGCTGGAATGCCAAAAGTTAGAATAGGTGTTGTGGGAGCTGGTACGGCTAACATTTTTGAGGACGTGTTGCAATCATCAAATCAACTGCTTGATGTGGCCTTTGCACCCTCAAAAGGTAACACGCATGTATAAATCACTTCTCATGCATGATGCATGAAAATTCATTATTTGTGGATTGTATTCGTTTCATGATGTTATTAAAGTTTTTACCTATATCATTTACTTACTCTTTTAAATCAAATCGGATTATGAAAAGACCATGAAAAAACAAAGCAGTATGGAATATCAGAACTACAAAAACAACAACAAAGAACTACGTCAAATGAATTGTGTAGTATTTGTTCCGACAGTTTATATTCTCCACTCTGCTATGATGGTTGTTCAACAATCACAATTTGGTAGGTACTCGTAAATTCACAGTAGATGTTAGTCGTATTATGTGTGTAGGTATCTGGATTTAAGTTGGATTAGAATCCTTCAATAGCGATGCATGGCTGTAATACAAATCATAATTTGAATCATTTTTCTCCAATTATCTCTTTCAGCAATAGGCAAGGTCTTGGCTTCCGAGCTTCCAAAGTTAGGGGATACGAAGTGCAGAGTCTTATATCCTGCTTCTACTAAAGCAAGCAATGATATTGGTACGCAACTTACCTTTTTTATTCTAGTTTCTGCACACTGAGGGTTATTTGGCATCAGATAACGTGGCAAGTAACAGTGATGTTCTTTTTGCGTTAAAGCATGCTATCATGTTTTCTCATTCAATAACTATAAGAATTTAATTTGAACTGAAAGTATTTGTTACTTACACTGCTGGCTTGCAGCTAGCAATTTTATAAGGTTAACTGGAGTAGTTACTCTCTGTGATAAGTCCAATTTTTCCAGTACCAGTAAACCTAATTTCCACATTTGGAATGTCAAGATACTTTTAACTAGACGAATAAAGTTGTAATAGCATTCCCTCTGATCAACTACAGACATTTATGTTTTAAATTCACGTGAAATCAGAACAGTGAAGAATTATTATGTGGATAGGAGCTTTTAACTGCAAATTTGTTTTAGGTTCCAATCACAAAATATAGGGAGCTTCCATTTTGAAGAAAACTAAGGAATATGAAGTTATTTATACTAATAACTTTAATGTGGGATAACGGTGCTTGGAACTGGCTGCTGGCTTGTATCAGTAAAATCAAGATTTTTACATTTACTCTAGGAATATCTCATATTTCAGATACCGACTGATTTCTCTGTTTGTGTATACAGAGTTTACTAACGTATAAGTAGGGCTAGGACTAGGAGTAATTTGAACCTTGGTTAGAATGTGAGTTGAGTTATTACTAATAGTAAGTAGTAACAGTTGGGATGTATATAATTGAAAATTAATAAGATATTTTATATCTCTTATTCTCCCCCATTGCGCAGTATTATATTTCATTTTTTATCAACTGAACTGGCAGACCTCAGTTTTACTTACGCTTTAGTGGAGACTTGAATTTTAATGTCAAGTGATCTTTTGCAAGCATCCTGTGGCAATCTTGAACCACGTTCCCTTGTATTATCTGTTACCCACTTTTTAAAAATAATATATTGAAGTTTTAAGTACTACTTTTGTCACGTTGTTGCATCAGTGTGAGTTAAAGCAAACAATAATGCCGTTGAGAAATAACCTTGGTATCCCTTTTTGCAATCTGTACAGAGGAAGCCCTTTCGAATCGTGGATTTGAGGTCATGAGGCTTAATACATACACTACGGTAGAGTATTCATGATCCTTGGTATATCTCCTGTTATTTTTTATATGCATATTCATCTACATGATTCTGAGAAAAGTTCCAATAAACATTTCTATTCCCCTCCCCCTATAATTCAGTGAAAGAACCAAAAATAGCAAAACCCACCCACGTGAAGCAGCAATAACTGCAGATACTTGAAATGTCACATGGGACTCTTTTTTGGATCAACAAGCTAAATACTTAAAGACAAATAAGTGTAGTACAGTGGACCTTTTTTATCTCTCTCTGTTTTTTTTTTTTTTTTTTTTTTTTGTAAGATAGTTGACTGAGCCATGGACACTAACAGTGAAGATTTAGGAGAAACTTATAAGGAGATGCTAAAGTACACAACTAAATAGAAAATTAAGATCAAACAGAACTTGCATTTAGCTTGTTGTAGGTCATAATCCCTTATTCTTGCATCAGAACTTTCAGAGGATAGAACCATCAATTAAGTTTAAGGTTTTCATTGTCTAGTAACTTGAACGAGTACTATATTGATCACTCAAACACGATTAACTTTCGTAGGCATCATAATTATTGGTGGTATCTTTCAGGCACCCGTTGATTACGTTGATCAAACAGTTCTAGAGCAGGCACGTTCATTGCCTGTCGTCACAGTGGCTTCACCTTCTGCAGTTCGGTATGACATCAGATTCTTTTTGTACGATAGGGAATTTGTAACAATTAATTAGTTCGTTTTAATTCGTCCTTGACATTACAACCCTGTTGCAACAGCGCATGGGTCAATCTTATTTCAGAGCCAAACGAGTGGGAAAAATCACTTGCCTGCATTGGAGAAACAACTGCTGCAGCTGCAGAAAGATTTGGATTGAAAAATGTTTACTACCCCAAGAATCCTGGCCTTGAAGGGTGGGTGATTACATACTTCAACTTTACATCCTTTTAGTTGACGCATTTCTCTTAATGGTTCAAAAATTCCGTACTCAACTATCTTTACCAGTAGATAAAAATCTAATGCTGAATGTACAAACATGACCAAATTGAGATTGCAGGTGGGTTGATAGTATATTGGAAGCACTAAGAACAGAAGCTCAAGTCGTTTAGGTCATTTTCCGGACTAGAAAATCATCTACACTTCTTTTCCACAATTTAAGGCAGATCCAGGCGGAGGCAACAATTGGTTGAAAAACAAAGCATCTCAACCACTCCATCTTCATGTGAGGATCATTGTCCATTTGCCTGAGTTTTTATTCAAGGTAAGCCAAAATGAAGTTTTTTCTGTAGTCCTACATAAAATTATCCCATTGTATGTCCACTTCGATATCAAATAATTAATGACCCTTGTCCTGTTCTTTTTGTTGTTAATAGAATGTAAATGCTCTTCAATGGAATAGGTTCTGCTTCATTCTCCAAAATCCCTCTTTTTCTCTCTTTTCTTTTTCCGAACTTTAGTTTGAAGTTTAGTCACTTCGATTATTGAAGTTTCCGCGAACGGTTTGCAATTCACCTTGCAAATTAATAGAAAGATTAAAGCAGTAGCTTCTCTTTTGAATATAGATAAATGGTTCAAAAGTTCAAATACTATTTTGGTTCTTGTAGGTTCATTTTAGTGTCTATACTTTCAGAACTTCTAAGGTGTGTTTGAGAGTGATTTTGCCATGGTAAAATCACTTTTGACATTACCAAAATCTTTTTCATTTCCATGGATCATGTTTGGCAAATTTAAAAATTGATTTTAGGGAAACATAAAATTACTTAAATTTGATTTTTAAGGTATCTTTTGTGTGGTGATTTTGGAAAATTAATTATTCTTAAATATCTTTTTTTAAAATCACTCCCAAATACACTCATAGTCTGTACTTTTAAAAATTGATCATTTTAGTCTCTATTTATAAAATTTTAACACAAATTTTATATATAATATAAATATTTTTAATACAAATTTATGGTTATCTCTCAAGAAATTTAGTGAGTGAACTGAAAATGAAATTGAAGGAATTAAAATAGACATTTAAAAAGTACAACAATTAAAGTACAATTATATAAATAAACTAAAGTTGAAAATACAATAATTAAAATAGTATTTAAATTTTAAATCTACCGTATCTCATATATTTACAACGGATAGTATGACTCAGCAAGTTTTCCATGAAGAGATGCAAACCTTGATGTGAAGTGTTTTGATTTTAACTTATTGTATTTTCTCATTTCAAATCAAATTTCGTATTTAAAATTGTCGCCGCAGCAGAGACTCAAAAGCAAGGAAAAAAATGACAATTTAAAAACAAAACAGTTAAAAATATGGAGATAAATTTTTTTTGAAATTAACAGTTTACGAGGACATGAACTAGTATGCAAATTTATGAGTCATTAGTACAACGAGAAGCAATATATATGCATAAAATATAAATAGATAATAATGAATTACACTCTCGATCATGATTTATAAAGGCAAATACTGGTAAGATGCACTCTGGCAAAAGAAATATTGTATACTTCTTAAAAGATTTTGAAACGACTGGCATCTATAATTTTTCGTAATTCAACTAATTGTTGTAATTCATAATTTAATGAAAACTCAATTCACATGTATCATTGTATATTCATAAATTCTGTTGAGACTGCACAAGTTGATTTGTTTTAGTAAGAGTTTGACTTGTATATTCAACGTGTTTGATCAAACCTTGATCATTTTATTTCGTAAATATCCTAAGTGAAAATATACTAAAACTCATATGGAAGGAACATATGTAAAACCCTTCCGTATGCTCATATTAACAAATTCTATATCGACTTTATTGAATTAAATCTTAATATTTTTCATATATTAATAATCTTTATATAAATTGAATGAATAAAAAAGAATTTACTAGAAAATACTAAACGGTAATAGAAATGTTTTGGTTCAATATGTGATCAATATGTAAATATTAAATTAACTCCTTATTTCTTCGTTTAAAGTTATTCCAAAAGATTCAATCAATTCTATTTCTTTTATTAAATACATCGAAATTAATATTCATTCATATGTTAATTTCTTCTTAAATTTTGAGGGTTGAGGGTTGTGTCTAATTAATCATTGAATTTTTTTTTAAAAAAAAACGTCTAATCAATACTTAAACTTTCAATTTATGTGTGTAATATATCTTAAAACTTTAACTTTAAAAAGTCGTCTAATAAAATTTTGAACAGTATTCAATAGGTCTTTAAACTTTAAAAAATATCTAATAAATAAGGACTGTATTGGACAATAAATTAAAAATTAAAAGATTTATTAGTTACAAAATTCAAAAGTTACCTATTAGACAAAAAAAAAAGATTTAAAAAGAAAGATTTAAAAAGATTTAAAGAATTGTTAAATACTTTTTAAAGTTCAAGATGACACACTCCCATTTCAGAAAACCAAACTTGTAATCTAGGGGGTAATGTTTCTATACTGTGTTTTTCTTTCTTGATTTATTAATTATACCAAAAATATGAAAGATGAATATAATTCAAAGGAAATTATTCATAACGAAGTGCTGAGACTTATATATACTACAGCTTCAAATTTTACAGATTTACATATAGTTGTTATTACACTAAATCGATAATCAATTGAAATCATATTCGAACAAATAATGCTCATAAATAAAATTAATTCTTCCTGAAAAAAGAGATCCAAATTACTCATTTTGCAACTTCCCTCTCTTCTTAATACCTCCATTTTATGTTTGCTAAGAAAAAGTTAATGTAGTTATTTTCCTGCACTGCTCTCATAAGTCTGCTTTCTCACCAAAATTCTTTAGATCGCTTGACAATTATTTTGTTTTTTGTTTTGTTATTTTAAACAAGGCTTAGATTATAATTATCATCGACGAAGAAATTCACAGGCTAAATTAAAATACCATACAATACACATCGGGTAATTAGTTTAGGAAATTTACCTTGCGTCAAGGTCAATAATGTAATCTCCATTGTAATCTGCAGACGAAACAAAAAGAAAAGTTTCCTTCAATGCAGATATATTTCACAAGCCCTTATCGGAGGCAAACCAAAATTTAGAACATATCATCTACCTTCGAACTAAGACTGCAACTATCTAAAATAAAAATACGTTTCAGAAAAAAAAAAAAAAACTATCTAAAATAAAAATCTCCGTCTGCTGATGGCTACTTGGACTTTCTGGAGAAAGCAGAAATAGAAATAAGGAGCCGTGATGCTTCAATTGATTGATGGTGGAAAATGTCCCGTTATGAAAATAAATATCTGGATTCTCGCAATCGTGTGGATTCTAATAGGGAGAAGTCGCTTATGGAAAAATAAATTGCATACGTCCGCGTTCAGGAGACTAATGGAGTGATCGAAATCATTTTGAACAAATTAAAGTTAGTAGAACAAGAATCTTAACATTAACCGATCTTTCCTTTTACGAATAGTTGAAAACTGAATTCAGAAACGGAGAACAAAAGAAATTTCAATAACAGAAAATCCAAATTTGAAAACCTGATCATGAAGTTAGTGATCAAGAAATACACAAGATCGAGAAAAAAGAATAGGACAGAAGAGATTTGACTGTAAAGAAAAGACGAAAAAGATCGATACGCATACGTACAGAGATATCCATTCCATTTGACATCTCAATTTTCAAGGAAAAAAAAACCTCGAATTATCGTCATCGTGGACAACGAGATTCAACGACTGCATCGATGATGCGGTGGAAACTAGTAAAAACGCTTTCCCCAAGAAATTGAAGCCAAACATCAAAATTAGCTCCAAAATAAAGCAAATGTAATGTAGAGACCTAAGATCGGCAGCGAGAATGCTTACAAAAATCCTAGATCAAGAATAACAAAGCGAACGAAAGGGAGAGAACCTGAGATCGGCAGTGAGAATACGGCGTAGGGGAAAGTTTCAGATGCAACCAGCGCTGATAGAGGGCGTACACCACCGTTTCCAAATGGGAGCGAATTTGAAAGGGGCGGGAATGGTTTTATAGGGCCATTTTGGCATATGGGGTTTGGAAGTTAATTGGGCCGGGCCCGAAACCTAGTAATACTATGGGCCTCGATTTTGCTGGATTAAGGCCCTAAATGCTGACTTAATTTTAGGGGTTTTACCCCAAATCCCTAATTAAAATTAACATATCAAAATCGTAATCATTTTTTTAAGTCTAATAAATTTTTGAGTTTAATATCGAAGGGATATTCAAACCTCTAAATTTTTGGTTGGAAATATATTCTTGGAACTTTTCTCAAGTTGTTTTACTCTTCATCTAATAGACTACTAACATGACATTTCTTTCCTCTTCTCCTCTTTTTTCTTTTCCAACAAACCTAGCCGTCGTTGTTTAATAATGCTCACCACCGTCCCACTAACGGTCAAGTCTTCCTCTATGCTAACCCTGCCTCTGCCATCCAAATTTCAAAGAATCAGTTCCATTAAAAAATGTTAATGTTATATCTAATAAGTCTCTGAATTTTAAAAGTGTTTAAATGGATCTTTAAACCTTCCATTTTGTGTTTATTTGCCTATTTTATACATTTTTAAAAATTCATAAACCCATTAAACATAAAATTAAAATATTAAAACTAGACATGGATAACATAACATATAATATTATTTTAACTTTTAATGTTGTATCAAATAAAAATTGACAATTTGAATGTAGTTCAATATAGGATAAAACGTTACTAAATGTCAAACATTCGAATTTCCACCTCCTTTTTTTCTTTCCCTTGTTTGGAATACAAACCGAATGAGAAATCATATTTGAACTCCCGACTTCAAAAAAAGAAATAGATGTCTTAATTAATTAACCGCTCAACTATTCTCATGTTTCCAATCCACCATGTTATTAAGCTAAAAAAAATATAAAAATAAAATAGTGATGGTGGATCATATTAATTAATTAATTTCTGAAACTTTAGGGTTTAGAGATGAAGGTGGTCCAGTGAAAAAAAGTAGAATTTTATTCAAAGTAAAATAGAGAAGAAAAAAAAAACTTATCGTCTGCTTTATCTTCAATTAAAGTGGGTAGACAACTAGACAAGTCTCGTTCAAGATAGGACGTTCTCCTGCGGCTCCAAAGAATTTTGACATATTGATTGCATGGTGCACTGTGTACGTAATATATATATCAGATGGGCGCATAACTAATGCTTGAAAATGATAGATACTAAAGAAAATTGCTTTTGGCCTAGAATTAATAACATTACATGTTCATTCAATAAGCCAATATTTGGTTCGTAGTATAACAAATAACTATTTTTTTTCCGAGTATAACAAATCAAATAACTGTCAATCCGAAAATAGATGGTAGATAAAACATTAATAACTTTCTTTAATTTTAGGTTATTTCTTTATAAAAAAATTGAATGTTCAATTCTTCTCTAAATATATTATGAACTTAAAAAATCAAATAATTATATGTTATTACGATTGACCCATTTTGATTGTACTAATATACTACTTGTTACTCTAATTGTTTTTTTTTT